ACTGTTCTTGCAAATAACTTGACTTGGAAAAATTAAATCAAATTAAATAAACACTTGCCACTTCAAAGTACTTTCCTATGAAAAACCACTTTTAAATATTTTCACAGCACGTGTTGAAACAAATCTATCTAACATGGTATTCTAGCTCAATGAGCAACTGGTGACTTGCAAATAGCTTGTTGCATATGGAACCTTAGTACTAGCATATCTTAAAATACTTTTTTCTAGTATTCCACTGAGCCCATCTAATCAATTGTAAAGCATGAAATTTCAGAGCAAAGGCATGTAGCAGGTGCGTTTTGTCAAGATAAAACTGCAATATTTGCAGCCCATTTGATAAAATGAAGAAACATTTCTGATTTGAAAGTACCAATGAGAAAAGGACAAGAATTCAAAATTCTACAGGGGTGTTTTGGGGTTTTTTTTTTGGTATCACAGACATACACAGACACAGAAAACAAACCCAAAGTAATTCAGTCTCATCCGGTTTAACCTCAACCACGAGACACCGCTGTCTGTTTTCTTTCTCAAAAGACTCACGTCATTGCACTCTGAAAAAAGGGAACTTCCACAGCTTGTGGGGAGGATACTTGATAAACAGACCTGTTCACATCAACTAGCAGGGCTGCCTGCGTCAATAAAAGGCAGTAGCAGAGTCAGTGAACTTGCATTTGGTGGCTGGAGGATTATCGTTGCAAAAGTAGCTTCACGTTAGGGCTAAGTAAAATGCTAGGATTTTTTTTCCTCCACAATAACATGAGTGAACTAAATGGAAAAGAAGATTGCAAGCTTGCAGAAGGTAAAATCCATAAAAAGAAGCAAAAGGCTTTGTAAGTATATACATCTTAGCTTACACTCTAATGGATTAGAAGTGAAAATAACGCTAGAATCTTGGGGATTAAGAATTAGCACTGTGTGTTTGGGCTAAATGACTGCAAAACCTGCTCAAAGCCTGTGACTACAGCATCATTAAAAGCAGCTTGAGCTGATGCCTATCAGTGAACTGATTCTCTTAAGTAATTGGAAGTAGATTTTGGATACAGTGGGAGCCCTTTAGTATTTTTCAAAGAATTTACTTGGATATGGAACTTCGCAGACTCCCGTTGTAGGACTGAGCTGTCTGCCTCTGTTTAAAAGTGTTAAGAAACTTAAGTAGAATTGAAATGCAACTGCAAGGTTATGGATTACAAGGAAGTTTGTTCATTGGTTTCAGCGGTGCAGATCTCAAAAATTATTTGAAATGCATGGTACCACATATCGAATCTGGGATCAAGACTTCTAACTCCAGAAATGTCGTGTAAGTACTGAGATAGACTAAGGTGTAACAAAATGTAACTGTAACTAGATTACTACTTAGTAAAACTATTTTAGTAATTTCTAAACGACCTCTTGAGCAACAAATATTATAATAATGCCTAGAATTTCCAAAATACAAAAGACGTGAATGTTAGGAAGTAGAAGCTATTAATGGAGTTAAGGATTTTTTCTTAGTAATGTGATATGATGTTTGCATCAGAAAATGAGGGAGAAGACACCTCAGTAAATCTATTTTTTCAGAGGGACATTGCATCCATTCTCTAAAGATTTACGAGAAATAATGCTTCACTCTTAAGTGAAGAGCAGGGGTATTGCCATTTGTATTTCAGGAATATAGAAACAGAAGTACAGATATAAATTTCTCATATCATATGTGGTCATAATTACAGTAGAAGTCCCTCTTTCTGGGAACAGAATTCAGGCTAGCATCATAATTCTTTGATTTTCCATCTCTCCAATTATTTTTCTTACACGTGGGTTTGCCTCCAGGGTGCCAGAATATGGGAAAGCCATAAATTTAATGAATATCTGGTACATATTCCTAGAATAGAATAATAAATTATAAAATGTGTCTTCTTTAAACATGCAAACAGAAGCACATGGTTTGTTGCCTAAAGTCTTTTCTTCTTCTTGTCATCTTAGGCTTTCTGCGGAGGAAGTAATACAGTGGTCCCAGTCTTTGGAAAAACTCTTGGCCAGCCAAAGTAAGTCTACTACTTCAGTATGACCTTATTTTTATTCCACAAGGATGAAATTTCATCTAATCTCACCGAAGAGGCAAAGATGCAGTATTCTGCAAACACTGCCTGAGAATGTTCAGTTGCATTATAGTTATCTGTAGCTCCAGTGCAGCATGGCTACTGTTACAGCTTTGCTTCCAAGTTTCTGTTTTCCCTTCTATTTCCTACTCCCAGCATAGCAAATAAACTCCAAACATCTCTGTTCAGTGCTTTCTTATCACTCTCTATCCTTGCATAACACTTCAGTCTAATTTGAAATTTTCTCTCTGTTGTACCCTAAGACAATCCATTGAGGGAACAACTAGAACTGATTCATGTGTTTTAGTACTCAAGGTCTAGATCTAAAACCACTGAGGATATTTAGGAAGACTCCTCCTCAATAGTAGAATATCTATAGTATGTTAATTAAAGAAGAAGGGTGTATTTTGGGAAGATTCTTTAACAGAGATTTCAATACAACTCCTGCTATTTATTTTATCCTCCACAGTCACAAATATCATGCTATAAACGATGATGCATTTGTATTGGCCTTAGGTGGTCAAGGTATCTTCCGGGAGTTCCTGAAGTCAGAGTTCAGTGAGGAAAATATTGAGTTTTGGCTGGCTTGTGAGGATTACAAGAAAACCAAGTCTGATCACTTACATGACAAAGCAGAGAGGATCTATGAGGAGTTTGTTCAGTCAGATGCTATTAAACAGGTATGTACAAAGTTAACCTGTGCAGTGTTAAAGCACAAGGATTCTGGAAATCACAAGACAGAAGATGAGATGTTCATGCATTTATTCAGTTACACAGGATGAAGACAGACAGAGGTTTTTAATGAGTGTACTTGCACTGTTACTGTCTTAAGCCGGGAGATGATCAGATCTCACAAGCAGAGTCACAGGATTCAGGCCAGTACTTGGGAGCACCACTAGCAGAAGCTCAGCAGAGGCACCAGCAGCTCGTGATGTTCTCAGAGTCAGCCCAGACTGAATTACTGCTGGTGTGTTGAGTCGGATACATAGAGAGAACAGTGCTAGTAGGAGAGCTGTGAAATATTTCTTGTCTTTTAAAATACAGGGGCATCCTGGAGAATTAAAAGTTGTGTATGTTGATTGTATTTCAAATTGGAGATCCTCATTCTGCACAAGAGTTCTCCTATTGTTTCAACTTTAGATGTAATTGAGGCTTACTCCATCGTTGAGTTGTATTGTCTCTGACTCCATAAGGAACTGCATTGCTATGAGTAGCAAATTCTGTGCATAATGGATATAAACATTAAAATTCCCTAATTTTCTGTTTCTGATATTCATAGAATCATAGAATGGCCTAGGCTAGAAGGGACCCTAGAGATCATCTAATCCAATTGAACAATCACACTGAATTCTAAAGCTGTGAGTTTGTTTATTGACAAGAAGTGATAGATATAGAAAGGCCGTGCATTTTGAGATGTCAATGACATTTGTTTTTCACTTTCCAGATCAATATTGACTATCAGATGAGGGAAGCAACAGCCAAAAGAGCTCAAGACCCAACTCACACAAGTTTTGATGAAGTCCAGAAAACTGTGTACATACTCATGGAAAGGGATTCATATCCCAGATTTCTGAAATCCAAAGCCTACCTGAACCTTTTGACCCAACTGCAGACCAGCACTTCAAAATGAAGTGTTTTAGGCAGTGAAGAGCCAAGTAGACTCTATGTCAAATATCCTGGTGAAGAGATCCTTCAGCATGGTTGGATCTCAGTGAGAAGAACCCCTGCCCTAGGAGGAGGGGTGTGAGGGAGATGCAAGCAGCTCCACAGCCAAGAGAAACCAGGATAAAAGCTGAAAAGACTATGAACAAGGGCGAGAGCAGCACAGGAAGAAAATCTTCTCCTCCCATATGCCATGGAGTCAAGACAGGATATGGATACTATTTATTGTTTGAACTACACTGTGAATGTTGAACCAAGGCTTAGATCCCAAAGAAATGCTGGTTATTAGGAAGTGCAAGACCAGCAAGCTGAGTGTTGGGAAAAGATTACCAAGTTCAGAAGAAAAATAAGGTTGACTGATGGCCTCGTGCATAACAAGAAAATGCCCAGACAAGACTGATTAATGGCTTTTCAATCTGTGAAGTGTTAATAAGTGTGAGTGCAGCTCCATGATGCTATTGTGCTATCTAAATATATTATAAATTGGCATATCTTAAAACTGATGCATTTTAAATTATGTAAGAATGACATAAGCTGTACTTTCACTAAGTTCATATTCAACAGGCAGGTATGTAGCATCTTTTCTGTTTAACTTATTGCAAAATAATAAGCAAGTCTTCAATCAAATCTACTTAAAAATAAAGTTTCACGGTCATTTTACGTGTTATGTGATCTATCCATTGTAATTACACGTGGTTCCCTTCTGTCCCACTATGCCACTACTTTTCTGTATCCAAATATTAATTTTCCCCACGCTACTTTTTCTTTTTTTTTTTACCCATTTAGTAGAAACATATTCTTTCTTACGTGGAGTAGGTGCTCCTGATTTACATAGACCCATTCTCATGACCCCCCCAAAGCAGGAAAAAAAGAAGAAAAGAGAAGCAGGTCTTCATTTCCTTCCTATTTTCATGCTCCCCCAGCACTCCCAAGTCAAGCCTTAAATACAGAAGCTGTTTAATCATTAACCCCACAGTTCAATCTACTGATGATGTGTTGAGCAGAGCAGATCATCCATGCTTGCTTTAGTTTCACCGCAAACTTTGCATTAAATTTACTCTAAAACCATGTAATGTTATGAGTAGCCTATAGCACCACTAGCAGGTAGTGATGAGAACCAAAGTAAAAGAAAACTTAAAATTATGCTTGAACTATGTAACTATGACCATGAGCACTACAAAATCTGAAGTGTTTAAGACCTTGTGACATCAGAGTTCATAACAAAAACAGATCAAAATGTTCCCTGGTCTTACTGAGTTACAATCATGAGACACAGCTATTACATGGGTGACAATACAAGATTTTATCTCACTCTTACAAATTTTCCACTTTCCAAAATAACATGAGCTTAGTCAGGGACACTCCATTATTCTGTACACCAAATGGAGAAGCTGTAAACCCACAGACGTCACCTCATGGGGATGAGCAGATCATGTCTGTCCACCCTTTGGGGAAAATGGGATCTCCAAGGGAGGACAAAATACTCAATGTTACAAGCAAAACCATGCTGGAAGGAACACAGCTAAGTGACAGCTGCTACCAGCTTCTGTCACCTGTTGTAGCTAGAAGCCAGTGCAAATCACATCTTCCTACTTTCAAGGCCAGTAAGACGTAGAACAAAAGAATCCGGTCTTGCAGAATTATTTTCCTTTAAATATCTATACCTGGTAGAGTTTCTGATTGCAAAATCTGAATGCTCCTGAAACAATGTAAACCAGTCTCCCGCTGGCTGTCTCATACATGAACAAATTTTTCAGGATCAGTAGGAATAAATCGAATTCCTGTGAAGTATGAATATCCGCTAAGCCTCCCACACAAAGAGCCATCCTCACTTTTCCTCTAACACAGTTAACATGGACCAAATGTCACTGTTTGCATAGCACCAACCTCACAGAAGACACACACATACACACATAAAAAAAATAAAATCTATGAAATATCAGCTACTCTCTAAACAAAAACTGCCTTCAAGTTACAGTATTCTTTCGACTATAAATCCCTTAAATTAGTATGAGCCCAGTCTTCATTTACTTTCTCTGCAATTTCACAATTTTGCCATGTTTTATAGCCAAATGCCCATATAAGATTTCTGACTAAAATCATATTTTATAGTATGGCTAGTTAGGATGTGTGTTTTTTTATTAATGGTTTGATGCTGCCAGAGAAGACGGTTTGTCAGAAGCAATTTCATCCTGCTGGGTGAGCTAATGGGTGGATACATGATTCCAACTCAACATAGGTCTCAGAGGTAGGTGTAATGAAAAGAAGGCAGACTCTGGAGTTGTACCATGGTTTTGGGTGCCACAGCAGGCACTGCTCACTTCAAGAGATGGCCAATATCAGTGCCCTGTGACTTTGCATCAGGCAAAGACATCTCAGAGAGCACATTAACAACTTGTGTTCCACAGGGCTAGTATAGACCTGAATGTTTGAGGAGGGAAGATGAAAGGACTTTCCACTATTTTCCACAAGCATTTCTCCCTGGTTTGTGATTTGGAGAACAGAAAGTGGTATTTCTTTCAAAAGGAAACTATTCTGCTCCCTACAAGCCAACCTTGGTACATTTCTATGTCTTTCACCTTATTTGCAGGAGGAACCTGAAGAAACCCCAGCAAAGATCAGTTGCCCACACTGTTAATTCCAGAGATATTCCAGCCCACTCCAGTGTCCCTGGCAACCTGACCATGTTTCACCAAGCAATAAACAGCGTAGCAGAAATACAGAGCTGGCTCTGGGATGCTGTCATAAGCCTTGTATTATCTATCTGTTGCTATAACAGGGCTATACAAAGCTGGTTGTTTAAACAAGGTCCAAGAGATCTGGAAGTATTTTATGGGAATTTATAGTGCCTTCCATACTAACCTAGTTTATGAAAGGAAGAGGTAATAAGCAATAGTTCAAGGGTACATGTGAAACAAATTTTACAGTATTTTAAGGCACTTTATATTTACATGCTTTAATAAAATAGTCCAAAGATAGGTATTTCTTCAAAATCTCTTTTTTCAAAATGAAATATACAATGCTTATTTCACAGTGAATTTTTTATTTTTTTTTTGAAATATTACCTAAAGGGGTGCTCTTTGGACTCAGAAAAGCAGCAGAACATAAACCAAAGGGATTAAGGACTTGGTATTTTCTGTGACGCTTGGTTCATTTGCAAGTTGCATGCATCATCTCAAATTCACTTGTGACTTCCTACTCACCTCCTCGCCACAACCAAACACACAAACAGCCTCAGTACTGCAGCTGGGTTTCACAGCTGTGGGCTGTGCCCTGCCCAGCATGGCAGACTTTTCCAGAATGGGACATGTTACACATCAAATATGGAAAGTGTGCCTCTCTGGAAACTTCCCACAGTTAAAGGAGAAACTTTTGAATGCAAGCTCTATTTACCATCTTGTAAAATAAAGGCGATCTGGGGTAACTGTCCTTTTTCAACATATGCTAAACTGAGTTATCAGTTAACTGATAAAACTTTGCAGAACAATTGGGCTCTGATTGTGGTCCAACACTTAGTAAAATACTAAATATGTAGATAAAAAGCTTACTTTTTTTAAGCTAGGTTTATCTTTCCCTTTTTGGAAAAAGTACACCAAAAGAGAATGGAAATTTGCTGTTCCATTCACAGAAAACTGGTTAGATCAGACTGGGCATCATAGAATCATAGAATGGCCTAGGCTGGAAGGGCCCTTAGGGATCATCTAGTCCAACCTCCCTGTCATGGGCAGGGACGCCTCTCAACTAGATCAGGCTACCAAGGCTCCGTCCAACTTGGCCTTGAACACCTCCAGGGAGGGGGCAGCGACAACATCTTTGGGCAATTTATTCCAAAGTCTTGCCGCCCTCGTACTGAAGAATTTCTTCCTAAGATCTAATCTAAATCTATTCTCCTTCAACTTAAACCCATTTCCCCTTGTCCTATCAGCAGACACTCTTGTAAAAATTACCTCCCCAGCCTTCCTGTAGGTTCCCTTCAGGTATTGGAAGGCAGCTATTAGGTGTCCCCGCAGTCTTCTCTTTTCCAGACTGAACAATCCCAGCTCCCGCAGCCTGTCCTCATAGCAGAGCTGCTCCAGCCCCTGGATCATCCTTGTGGCCTCCTCTGAACACGCTCCAACAGATCCACGTCCCTCTTATGGTGGGGACACCAAAACTGGATGCAGTATTTGAGGTGGGGTCTCACAAGAGCAGAGTAAAGGGGGAGAAATAACTCAGCACAACATCATTCAGATCATTTTAAATTCCATCCAAACAAGAAAAGTTGACTACTACTTAGAAGAGCAAGAAACCTTGCATAAATGCTAAAAATAGCACAAATGCTAATTTAAGGGTAGGCAGGACCAAGTTATTTTCTGCACTATTTCAGAAAAATGTTTCTGGCACAAAATCCCAGCCCTGTTGAAATTCAGAGGGCTTTTGTCAATCCAGCCAGGATTCTAGCCTTGGAAGTTTGTTTCACTGTAAATGGCCTACATGAAGCAAAACTGGGCTTTTGGGAGCACTTACCACCCTCAAATCTAGCACCAGCCATCTCTGTTAGTCACTGCTGCCCAGCTGTTAGCCCAGCAGACCTCTAATGGGTCACACAGACTGCACGAAGCTCGGGCAGCTGCTCTTCACTCTCCTGATACATTGCTGCTCTGCATCCTTTCCCGACAGACCCTTGGCATAGTTAGCGTATAACGCAAAAAAAAGACAAAAATGCAAACATCAAAGCAAGACAAGGCCTGCTCCACGAGACAGAGGAGGAAACTTAACCAGTCACCTGGGAAATAAAGAAGAAATAAAGGAAACGCTCAAAGAGTTCTTAACATTTTACTACTATTTATGGTAACTCTGTTTTTTATTGTAGATAGGCCTTGACTTTAATAAAAATCTACAAGTCTTTGTGGCATTGTTTTGCTTTGAAAACACAAACATGCATCTCTACATTCATTGTTGTCAAGAGTTAGGTCTGGGCCCTGAAGA